ATTACTTTAAAAGATTGAGACTGATCACTAATCCAAGTTACAAAGAAATCTGGACTTCTCTGGAGGAGCTAGAATGGCGTCTGACCATTAGACTAGTAATTTAGCCAAAAAATTACTTTGGTCACGTAATTGTTACAAACACTACTCTACCTTAAGGAACATGAACATTTTAAAGTAACTCTTTTTTATAAAGAGTCTCAAAGCAGCTTTCCAGCAGAAGAGAAAGAGCATTTCTCTAAATAGACACACAGTTTTCAGGAAGCATGACTATACTTCTTGGCTTAAATATTATGAAGTGTTTGAAACTAAACTAGGAATGATGTAGGTACTATGACTACAGCCATGGTTTTAGGCAACCAAATTAAATGACCACACAATTTCTCATCCTCATTTCCACTTCTCAAAAAAAACCCGGACAGGAATTGACAGTAATCATGACAGCAACAGCATCACATGAAATATGAAACATATCCACTAACAAAAAGTCCAAGTTTTCAATATCCTTGTGGGAAAAATAAAAAGGGGACTTCAGTTAGACCACTAAAGAAAAAAAATAAGTAATCCTTTCTTAAAGGCTAAGCTACCAGAAATTATTTTAAGCAGTAGTGTTAGAAGACCACAAGATTAGACAAGATTGACACAACATAGCTTACTGCACAACACACTCTGTAGAGAACAGATTGTCTTCTCCCAAGCTGGTGTGTATGTAACTTTCTGCAAACACTGTGTGCACCTCATTGTCCACATACTCCAGCTCAAGGCCAGAACTGCTGAACTGGGAGAGGTGGGAAACCAGAGCCTTGTAAAAAGGTAAGCTGGAACCCCATAGGAACAGATATCTCAAAGGTAAGTTTTTAGTCCAAGAGAAATCAGAACACTGAGATATAAAATGAAAACAGGCTTAGAAAGTTGCTTTAAAAGAGATTTAAAAAACCAAAAAATCATAAACCAACACATGGTTGTGTTTGCCATGTAGGGCAAAACCTATGTCAAGATTTTCAGTTTAAATGGTAAAGGAACAGGTTCAGATAACACATTTAGCTTCTTTATACTGTGAATTCTACATAATGAGATCATAGGTAGTGAACAGGGACTTAATGAAATCTGTAACAGATGTTAAAATCAGGAAAACATAGAGAAAATTGATATATCTTGATATGACTAACAGTACCATTGAAAACCAAACACGAGGTAATAAGTTTCCCACGGGAATAATTTTTGGTTAGGAGTTCTGAAATCTAAAAAAAAGGCTACATGTAAGTTAATGAAATTAGTTTCAATTGGGGGTAAAAAATAGCTCCTTTTACATATACTTATCTAAAAATGCGTACGCAAAAGGCTGTAAGAATGCAGGGCCTCCACTGTGAGCTAAGATGACTTCTGGTTATACCTGAATAGTAACAAATATTAGAGAGAAAAATGCAGAAAGCCTAAGTATAATTTAAGTCAATAATGGCCAGTTTTAGACATAGAAAAAATGAAGGAAAGGCCATAAAGGCATGGACTAATAAAAATGCTTCTTAAAGGAGAATCCAGAGTCACATTTATTATGAGGGGAAAAAAATTAAGGTTATATACCAGTGTATACAAATTAGAGATCAGAAAAAGGGAATAAAAAATCTGTCCACTTTTCTCCACAGTACAAGTAAGGTTTAAAATAAGGTAAAACAAATTAAAAAACCCCCACCTTTCCTACAGTTCTACAGCATAGTTGCCAAGTGGTATAACAGTTCAAATTACAGATGCCAAAATTAAACTGAACAGTTTTCAGGCAGGCTTAAAATGAGAGAGGAAACAAGAGAGGAATAAGTCTTCACCCCCTGAAATATTCATAATCTTTCATACAATGAGTTTGTCTATTACTACAGTAGACTTAGAGCATGAAGCACAGGAGATAACCAAGAACTCTTGCATAATACGTTAACAGCCATCTTAAAAGCAATTTTTACTATTTCATATGCTGTTTACAATTTCTTATGTCTGATTTTAAAAGTCAAATCATAGATCCTCTGGGCAGATTAAACAGAAACCAGTAGCTATCAAATATTCTCCTCTACTTTTACATAGTTATGCATCACCGCTTCTTGTTGTGGACAAGAATAGGAAAGACTTTATTACGAGCAATAATCTAGATTGCAACTCTTATTTTCCTACTCCCAAACATTATCATCATGTATTAGCACATGCATTAGTAGTAAGTATTAATTACCAAATTTAATTAATTAAAATGTCCTAAATAACTACAACAGGCAAAAAACTCTCCATCATCAAGTACTGCCATTCTGCTTTTCTGGTAAAGTAGGTTATTGTTTCTCTAAAATTAACAAAGAGACACAGCTTGGACCATTATATGGTAGACTTTTCCTGTCTATTTTGCAGGAAGTCTCCCATACAGTGCTCTCTGTGGCTTTGGATGCATCAATCACACAATTACAGAGGTTCAGAGCCTTTCTAACTCTCCCCAGATCTTAACTGATTTTGAGAAGGATTAATATCCCATGTTCCTTCTTCCTCCCAAGCAAGAGGCTTATGGTGAAGCTTGAAGAAGATTAATGTCCTAACCACATTCCCAGTCCTCCCTTAGTTTCTTCTGAATTAGTGCTCAATACACTTCAAGCAGGCATCACAAATAACTACTTCAGGACAATACCACAATACTTCTTTATACAGTTTTCACACCTTGGTACATCTGAAATCACAACAGACTATTTACTCATCTTCCACCACACATGACAGCTTTGTCATTCCCCTGACACCCCAGAGAAGTACCCAATTCATTTTCACAGCCTAACACACATCCTGTGGCTTTAAAAGATTTAACATCTAGGACAAAATTAACTGTGGGTGTAAAGGCATTTCAGATTTACGAATATTACTACCTATTTAGTCTTTAAATAAATTTCCAAGTTTTTCACCAAAAAAAAGTCTACTGTCACTGCAGCCCTTTTACAAGCAGGGAAGAACTGGCAGAAGTGGGGAACAAATAATAATCTTCCCAAAGGTAAATCTGCAGGCTAAAAATAAAACCTCCATTCTACTTAGATTCAAGTTTAAAGACCTTTAAATACTGAATTCTTCCCCTCCACCCCATCCTTCAATAATACTAATAAGTGTCATCGAGTATGGAAAGATTTATTTTCCTTTTACAAATCAACTCAAGATCACTCTCTCTACATAAACTTTCCAGTCTGTACCTAAATATATAGTATTACAAACCTGCCATCAGAATGAGTCAGTAAAGATCTAAATAGCATATTTAAAAGCACAAACACTGCAATAAACTCTTGTGCTCTTCATATTAATGCAACCTTCAGAATCAAGGGGGAAGCTTAGGTAGCACCAACAATCTTTTTCAAGTCTAAGTAGCAATAAAATTCCTGGAATAAAAAAAGCTTATTCCAGAGTAATTAAGTATGTTCCATCATTATATAGCAACTACATCAAACTGAAAGCAATATTAAGAATTTTTAAGACCAGAAAATAGGAGATGGGATGGAGAAGATAAAATATCAACCATGAGAAATGTGAGACTGAGTACCACCACCTTTCACTTTCATTACCCTAAGTAAAACACAAACACAAAGACCATATACCACAGTCCCCCTTTCATATCAAATCAATGTTAAGTATTTAGCAGCTACCAGTCTTGCTTATTTTATAACCTCCTCTTAGCACTTCACAAGAAAAGGTTTTAAACCACTTTCAGTTTCAGCTGCTAAAACCCAGAATCCTCACACTCTTCAAGGAGCACAATTGAAAACCTCCCACTCCTTAGCTGAATTCACATTGATATCCACTCTTTCCTCTATGACAGTCATGTGATTCACAGATACCCAGTAACTCAAGGCCCTATTTACAAAGTCAGCAAGAACTGTCAACAGGTGGGAGAAAGAGAAGGAGTCTACTGGACTCAATCCTTGCCTTAAATCAAATAGTATGTCAAGGTCAGATTATTTAGTAAAAATTCCCCCTCCCAACAGGTCAGGATGTCAATGGAAAAAACAAGATCTCTGTACTATAAGCAAGACAATACTTTTCTCTGAATTCAGCTGTATGGCATTAAAATCTAGCCATTTCAAGCACTAAATTTTCTTCTAGACTGCAAAAAAGTTGTCACTGAAACCAAGAAATTTTATTACCAAAACATATATTACCATTCATTTTGTGCAAAGTGCTACATATAACCATTCTCCCACCATCGGAACCTTAAATAATCTTTAGAGATATTAAATATATTTAATATATTTAAATGTAAAAATTGAAAAGAAATTAGATCAGTTCCCAACATGAAGAAACACAAATCAGCCCATCTACTGAAGGCATTGTGTCATTTTTTTGAACACACCAAAAAATTGCTGCTCCTACTGCATGCACACTTGGTATCTTACTGACCACACTGCAGGAAACGAGTTCTCTGAATTAAAATAACACAAAAGTAATCAAATTGGGATTCTGACTAGTTTGCAAGTAAATATATGCAAGTAAAATCCAGTACTCAATAACAGGCCATCTGAATTTTAGCAAAAGGAAGCTTAGTTTTATTAATTCCTCACCAGTTGTTTAGACACATAACATGAAACAGAAGCTTGGCAAGGTGCTTTTAAAAATTATACTGCTAATTTTCTACTTGGGTTAACAACATTTCCGAAGTTACTTTTCTGATTTCAGGTTGAGGCAAACAGAGGACACTGAAAACAAGGTAGTACATTAAGGCATACGTCCAAAGCAACCAGATTGCTTTTATTTTGCAAATGGTGTAAACATATCCATCCATAAAGGTGTCTTACATTATGCTTTTGAAAGAAGCTCTGAACACGCTCAAGAAGCAAGTACATTTCAATACTTACCTTGAAATACTCTGAGATAAAGGCTCTGAAGAATACATCATCACTAGCATGCTGTTCTTACTGCCTTTTGAACAAACTACTTCGTATTTTACAGCAAGCTTCCCCTCTGACATATTTTCCTTTGGTGTGCAAATACAGTAAGAATCTACTTACCACAGCAAGTTGTGTTCGTGATGCTACCGTATGAAACACTGCAGGCATCATAAGAGATTCTTCTACTTTCAATTCCATCTCATTCTCTGCTGAAAACGTAGTTTTGGGGATAGCTGGTGGACGTTCACACAGGATCATTTCTTTGTTGAATAAAAAAATTGGATTGGTGTCCTATACTCAGAAAAAGAAAATGAAACCAAAGACTGAGTAAAAGCAACATACTGTTTAATCACCAATTATTCCACTGTGTGGGTAACACGTCTTAAGAACAAGTTAAAATCTCAAAGAAATCCAGCAAACAGCATACTGTGGAAAAATACTTAAAAATTCCTTAGTAAAACATATTTTTCTTCCCCTATAAATGACAGCCTAGACTAAGAATGCAGTATGCACTTACTGTTCCAGCACTGTAACTACACACTCTTCTGTCTGGTGCCATACACTCTCCTCCATTGACTACTAGCACTTGGTGCTGAATGGCAATCTTATACTTTGTTTGAATTGCATGTTTCAGATCAGCCACACTGGAAGAAATGGGAAGAGAAGATGACACTATCAGCATATCGGTGTCTCTAATTTTACATAGTCCTGTAAGAGGCACAAGTGACTTGTCAGTGTCAAAGCAGAACATTTTTAAAACAAGCACTACTTTTTATCCTGCACAATGACATATTTCTAAGTTTTTTAAGTGTCATAACATGTTGCATTCTGGATATCCCACTAATAAGCTCTCAGTTAAAAGAAGACAGCCTCTGCATTACTGGTGCATCATTGGTAATCTTTTTCCAAGATCTGTATGTACACTGAAATTCTGGATTAAGTCATATCAAGCATTTAGGATAACAACTGTAAAAGTTGTATTACGTTCTTTTAATGCAGACTTCATGAACAAAGAGCTGACTTGATAAAACCCTACAAGACAAGAATATCAACACTTCATTATGTGTAATGTAAGCACAATTTCACCTAATAAATTGACTGATTTACTTACATGAAGTGCATTAATAGCACTGAATAGTAACAGGAAATTTAACAATCCATATATACATGCAACAAATTTGTATAAACATCACATACACTTTCAGTGTAGAAACAGTATATCAATAGATCATCCCTGTTCTCAGTTTACCAGCCTCATACCTGGATTTCTAGGTGATGATACTATTGCTTATTTTAGACTGTCCTAGACTTTTTCTTTAAAACACAAGCAAACAGCAAAATAAACAAGAATTTACTAATCTGATACAGTTACTGAACCAAATTATAACACACAGTGGTAGTACCTGTGCAAAGATATTAAAAAGCTTCAGAGTATGAAGACAGTAATCAACACAAGCATCAATGGTTTTGATATAACAGTCAGGAAACATAACAATGGTACTGGCTGTATGGTACTCGAAAAATAAAGATCATAAAGATCAATTATCTAAAATAACCACGATTCAACACAACATCACAAACTCATTACAAACCTCTCATGAGCACAAGCTTGTACTTACTAGTTGTATTACAGTAACCATTCACCTATCATCTCCATGGTCTTTAGGAAGATAGTTTGGCCTGTCCATGTACAAGGAAACAGGCAAAGAACCCAAGAAAGTTAGTCTTCCTAGAAAGACCAAGTCCATATGTACAGATATACAGAATAAGATATTAAACAGTTCAACTGAAGAGTCCCTGATTTCATTTGGTTCACTTGCTGGAAAGCTTCTTTTTCAAACAGCTATCCAAATCAGCAAAAAGTTGGCCCCCACTGGATTATTAGGAGCCTGGAATGGCAGCTCAGATGTTGTACCTCACTCACCACGATTTAGAAGTGTAATGTCTAAATGTACTAGGACACCATACAGGGGTATGGGCACATCTGCAAATGACCTGGCAGAACCAGAGTGGCTGAAACAGTATTTCATACTCATAATACCCTGTGTGTCAACAGGCTTTAGAGAACAGCATACAAAAACAATCAGTAGACACAGTCTTAGAACCCCTCCACCACAAACAATTTTCAGAATCTGAATTCACTTGCTGAGTCACGAAAATTACAAACAGGAATTCAGGAGAAAGAAAACAATGCATTTGAGTACAAAATCCATGGTAGAAGTCTTTTAAGCACAGCTACTTGTTGTAACTCATTCATCACTGGCAGAGCACAAAGACAGCAGGTAAGCTTGGCTCTTGCTACCTACAATGTGTCTTGCACATGAAAACAGTGAAAAAAGGATACAACACAAAGCATACATTTGAAAGATGCTTTTGGTACGCAGCAAAAAAAGTACAAACAGGAGACTTATTGGGACTTAACTGTGATCCTATAACTGATAATGGTTTAGGCAATTGGGCATTCAGAGGTTCAAGTTTTACAATCAAGATGATGTAAAACATTTTGGAGCCTTACAGCACAGGACAGAACCCACTTTTACCCATCCAGAAAATGACACAAAACCCTTCATGCCAATTCTTTAACATCTAATCTAAAAACATTAAAGAGCACACATTTTCTTCAGGATAAGCATACTGACAGGAGAAAAAGGAAAACCTCCACAACTTCTTCTATGATGTCAGTCAGTGAAAAACAAAACTCTTACAGAGGAATCATAAATAAAAACACCATTCAGTAAAAGAGCACAAAAGACCAGAAGTCATTCTGACAGTTTTTTTCAAAAAGCAGCAAAAATACTACCAGACTCAGCTAAGAGTAGGTCAGTCTCTGTCACTGCTCCAGAAAGTAAATAACCTCTCTACTCTTTCATGGGATCTCAAACACAAAGAATCACCTGGCAAGGCATTGAAAATGCAAATCACAAAAAAATGAAAAAAACCCACAACCAAAATCCACTCAAATAAATGAACACCTGTGAGAAAACTATACCAACACACTAAAAATATAACTGAGTATTATCTATCAAGAATCTAGTATATAACAACTATATATGCTTTTTAATTTAAAAAATCAAGCAATATACAATTAATTTACTCTCTTACTTTTGCACAGCAAGTTCAGTATCAAACGTAAGGGTAGTTCCAGTGTTGACCAAAAATACATATAGCTTCATGATGATTTCTTTAGGTCTCTGAAGTTTATAACTTCCACTGATAAAATCATTTAGAAACTGAAACAAAAATTTCAAGTGTTAGTTTTACATGAGCTATGAAAAAGACACGCACGTGCTTTTGAAAAAATACTTTCAGATAAACAGTGGGTGAATACATAATCCCTCACATTCCACAGTTCTTTATCTATTTCTAAAGATAGAGATGCTCCTCTGATCAGAAACATGGGCAAGGTAAGTCTCTGCATGTGCAGATGGTTAGAAGAACACAAGGAAATATATACTGAGAACGAAAAAATTAAATTAAAAAAAAATTTAAAAAAATGTGACTTCCAGTTGCAGAGGTCACCATCCCAGATCATTATCTGGTTTGTCTCAATTATGAAATATATTGTTAAAGCCCTTGATACAGTTATTTCCAGACATCCTTTCTAGATTTTACAAACAGCAGCATGACCTTCCTCAACTTACAGCTACAAAGTCTGTCTGCTCACTAATATCCCTATCCATACTTTCTTCATTCAGACATATTGAAGCATTGGTAAAAAAAAAAAAAAAAAAGGGAAATAAAAAAGGTAGATTTCCTTTTTGTATTCCTCCACAATAAGTAATAGTTTTAAAAAATATTTTCCTCTGTTATCAGTATTTGCTAAATCTGTAGCTACCTTCTTTGTCACCAATGGCAAATATAGAGTATGTAAGAAAGAATGTGCAGCCCAACACACAGGATGCATTTTCAGTCCCGTGCCCCACAGGCGCCTGGAGGAGCAACTATATGCACAGGCTTTTCCAGTGTATGTGACAGATGAAAAACCTTGACCTGCTTCATAAAACATTGAGATCTGAGATCTTATCACTGAAATACTCCTTACTTCTCAGCCTTTTTTCTCTTCTCCTCCATAGGAGCTAGGAAGTTCATGAGTAATTTCTGCCACACTAACAAAGTTGCTGCAGAATAACACTGCAGCCACTAAAGACCTGAATTTTTTTTTGTTATGTGGAAGGAGTTACAAAAAGTTGAGCTGTAAAAGTTTTAGCCACTAAGTAATATTTTTATATCATTATATAAAAGACTTTTTCGATCAAATTACTACACAGGTACTATAAGTGGCCCCTCCTTCCCTGAACACATATACAAGATCTACACAGCTAACTGTAGAACTCTCAACTTAATCTGAATTTGCCTTTATCTCTTTGCCTACACCCAGAAAAACTGACAGACCACAGATAAAAATAACATGCCATTAAAATGAGGAGAGGGGAGAGGTTTTACCAGAGTAATTATTTCAGAAAGTCAAAAGAGCTTTTTTTACAAGAGAGTGGCTTTCCACATATTTCTCAAGCATTAATTATAGTACATAAACTAGTTAAAACATGCATTTTCACATCAAGACTTCAGAAACACCTGCGGTAAAAAAGCCCCAGCTAAATAATTTGATCTGAACAGAGTTTTGTTGTCCTTACACTTGAACTCTACTGTACTAAGTGGCAATAGTTCCATTGTGTATTGGGACATGAACATATTCTATAAACCAAATTATTAGATAGGTAAAAACTGTTGAACACCAAGAACAAGCTAACGATTATTTATTTATTACTAAATTCTTTGGACTAAGTTTCCGAATTGATCGGTCTCCTGCGCATAACCTTCTTTTCACAAAGAATGTATTTGTGACTGGGATCCAGGTAGAATTAGAAACAAACATTAAATAACACAATGTTTCAAGCAAGCAGCATGGAGCACACAGAAAAAAAAATAAGCCCTTTTCAATCTAACCATAGTAAAAGGCATGTATAGTACCCATCTTTCACATAAACATTCTTTCCAGGCTGAAGTGAAATATGAGAGAATGTGTTCATCTCATACACAAAGTGAAATTTTAAATCATTTACCCCTCAATACCATAATGCTAAACCTAACTAACACAGAAAGGAGAAACATTATCAAGATCAAGAATATTTATGACAGCATCTGCCATGCATCAGCAGTCTCCAACTTTTTAACTTCTAGCAAAGAAAGAATTACCTCCAGGCACTATACAAAGTTACCACCTTCTTCAAATTCAAGAGGAGAGTAACTGCACACATTCGCTTTACTTGATTTTTGGCAACAGAGTAGCATGGTTGTTCAAAGCCAGAGAAGATCTGAAAAGAAAAGATACGAAAATGCAATTACAGGTGTTATTAAAATGCCAGGATTTTATGGTCATAATTGCATCTAACCCAGAAATCAGTGCATGTCAATGCCAGAAGAATAATTATACGGTAGTTGTTTTTTAATTAATAACGCTATCCAGTTACAAATCTGCCCAGAACTGTTACACACCTGAACACTTTTGCCCATGAGTTTTGTTAAAGTAACTATTAATGATACTTTTGAGTATTTACAAGGAGAGAATTTTAGTTCGTTGAAAAGGAACTGCTTGCGTTTCCAGTAACTGAAATTATTGTTCAGAACCAGTGCAGAATGCTGATACAATGATACTGAGAGCAACAGCAAAAGTCATAACACATGCAATTTATCTAAGAAAATCCAGCATCAAAAGGTACACAAGCTACTGATGTTGAATGAACAGCTATCTCCAACAGACTCCTTCAGGAATCAGCGTCACCTTCCTCACCCGAAACAAGGTAACCTATTATGCTAAGCCACTTGCCTACTTTCAAAACATGTGTTAGATTGATTTATTCTAAATTCTCCTTTAAATAAACTGAAGATGTTAACCATTCCCAGCTGCTTGTCATTGGCATCATTGCCAGGGGCTTCCTCTCCCAGAACTGCTTTTTAAACTACAGTGGAAACTGCAACAATCAAAATGAGCCAGATTACCAAAAGTGATCTTTTTAGGCTACCCTAGTTCATTTTAACTGTTTTCAGTTAAGTAGCAGTGCCAAAGGAGAAGGAGCCCTTGGCAAGGAATGTGTTGATGAGCAGTTGGGCTCAGGGTAGTAAAGCAAGTGCACAATCAAACTCCAAACTGCAAACAAACACTATTTCTATCATGCTAATGCCCCAGCAAGCTTTCTGAGAAGATGATCAGGCACTATAAAGGGTGATAATCCATTACTAAAAATAGGCTTGCTGAAGCCTGAAAACCATTAGAAGGTGTAAACCATTTTATACAACTCATGCTACTAACATTAAATCAAACGCTTTGTCCCAAATTTCAAACCTTACGACAAGGGAAAAAAAGTTATTTTATGGGCACAGAACAGAGACATTATCTTCCTCCCTCCTGTCCACTCCCTCTTTACTCCTATGAAAAATGCACACATCATTTTGTCAGAAGGAAAGGTACAATAAAAGGGAAATAAGCAATGTGCTTAAGTACTACCACTAGAAAAATGGTAATGGAAGTGTCTTCCTCCAGTTTAGTTATCATCAATCAGGAGCTGCACTTGAGCAAAATGAATTTATGAGTATTTGCTTTAGATCAAAGTAATGCACAGTAACACAAAACTACTGAAACACCTATGCTGCAAACTAGGATCACGACACAGGAATCTCTAGTCTTGTAATTCCTTTGCAACCATTAAGGAGACAAAAAACAAGTGGTATTTGTTCCACCCAACATTTTAGCCAACAGTCCTGGGGGCAAAAGAACTACACTAACACATGCAGGACAAATTTGTATTAGACTACTCCTTAAAAAAAAAAAATAAAATTAAATTAAAAAAAAAAGTAGAATTCACATAAGTACACACAAGTCATCCACTCCCAAGGTTGTCATAATTTCAGTGAATGCTTTCAGGAAGAAAGGAATTGTGTAAAGAAAGGTTTCAGAGAATACGCGCCTTTAACAGCAGCCTCTCCTACAGACTCACTGATGTCCAACAAAGACAGGCTGCAGTCCTCCCTTCCCTCAGCAGGAGCTATGTCCAGTGCCTCTCTCCAGATGCCTGTTTTTGCAACACTGGAAGAAAATGAATTTTGAGAGCTCTCCCTAGTCTTGCTTGTCTGGACAACATATGTCTGACTCTGAACAGAGTCCCAGATTAGTTATGAGGGGAGGAATGTATGAAACTCATCACAGTTGCCTAAGTTTCTTTTCCTTCAAAGGTCAGGTTACTGCAGACAAACAAGCAAGGTCAGCTACATATCACAAATTAGCCTTTAAGTTTGTTCCCAATATTCCAGAACATTATTATTCAGCAGTAACGTAAGTTCTTAAAATAAGCTTGGAGTGAAAGTAACACCATCAAGCTTCAACAGAATATATCCATAAGCATTTTATTATTCTTCTTCTTGTATTACCACAACAGGCCATTAGGAGAACTTCAGGCTTTTTTAAAATTTTTTTAGTATTAAACTGCTACATAGTGTTACAAGTTTCAAGTTTTTGTGTTATTGTGCTCAAATTATTTTAATTCGTTTTAATAGAGGTCGAACAATTACAAAATTTGACAGCTACTGAAGACAGAGCTGCTAACTATGTAATCAGACAAAACCACAAATGACTAATCCAACCAGATTATTTTTTTAAACTGTGTGATTTGCAGCATTAGATCCACACTATCCTATAAACTAGATCCTTGAAGTTATGGGATGGAAATTTGTATGAGAAACTGCCACAAATTATCAGTAACATCATGAAAAAAAAACAGCTGAACATTTGAAATTTCTGTAACAGCTGCCACGGCAGACAAAATATGGTAGATATAAATATAAGAAAAAGAATGAGATGACATCTAAGTAAGAATAGCCCAAAGTAGAAACAGCTTCTGTAATTAATTCAGAATACGTATACTTTGTTACATTAGCTAACAAAACACCAAAACCAGCAACGAATACATTATGTCAGTTGTGACATTTATTTCACTGCTCTGTGTTGTATTTACATTGCAATGCAATCACTGCAGTCTTTTCCTATACGATATAAACTCTTCAAACAACTGACTACTTTTGAAGTCTGTGTCAATCAATACTTTCAACATATGTTGTTTACAAGTATGGAGATGTATTTTATTTAGTTCAGAATATGCTCATTGTTACATCTGTAAAACGAAATGAAGGTCTGTTTACAGACCCTTCCTTTTTGTCATTACAGTACAGGTACCATAGGTTTCACAAAACTCTGCAAATAATCCTATGGCTACATTAACCACCCATTTCTGCCCTTAAGTGCAGAATCTCTGTTCCATTACCTAACGCTGACCGTTCCATTGTTTCATGGTACAATTCTTTTCAGCTTTACAAACTCAAACACCAAAACACAGCAGTCAGGGCAGGACAAAGAAATCAACATTTATGTTGTTTGGGTTTAAAGAGACATTAATCAACTTCACTTTAAAGTCACTATGTTTCCTCCATATTATCTTACTCAAGTTAAACTACGTCTTTGACATCTCATTTCCCATACTTCCTTTATAAACTGGATGGCAAATTGAATTTAAGCAAATGAAGATACTGATATTTTTTTCTTTAACTCCAAAGAATTTAAACTGAATAATGCCAAAGTTGCGGCTTTCCTTTAAACCCAGTGGTTTAAAATTCCATCTACAACAACAACACACCCGCCATATAAGGTACCTTGCTCTTTGTTCCCAGAGAAGTATGGCTACACATCTGTACATTAAGCATCATACTTCTAAAATGCTTCATCTTCCAGGTCAGATAGAACCAAGAGGTCCAAACTCTTTCCCCCTTATGTATATCTCCAGGTTGAAAGGGGCTCTAATCTGATAGCAGATAGAACTACCTGATCAAGGCAAGATTCTCACTGTTCGCTCAGTGCCTGCCATTCCACACTGCTATTAGACATTCACATAACTCTGTATGATTGTTATCTGTACACCGCTAATAAAGAAGTTTCTCTTCTCTTACTGCAGACCAGCTGAGGCTACACTACAGGTAACAGAGTGTCTCCAATATGAATCATAAGTGTTACCCTCAATTACAAGGGTCAGGAGTCTCACGGGACATCACCACAGAATTTCTGCCTGTCAAAAGGGCAATTCATCTGAGGCAAAGGCTGACAAGTCTGTCACATGCTTAAAAAGACTCAAGTGCTATTCCTCATTCACTAAATATCTTCTTGGATAACATCTCCCCTAAAGGGGAATATACCTTTATTACCTCTGGAGATAGAGAGTCAACTTTGGAGCACATTAACATGCTATGAAACTGTGCTTTATTTCCATATAACAAATCTTAAGGTTTCCCTTTGAGATGCTGCAACTCCTGTGATTTCACCTTTTTCTCCTCTCCTTTTAGAGCAGGATTTCCTGTTTCACTTCAACTTAGGCAACTGTATAACAGACCAGTGCAGAATGTTCCTTACAATTCATTATGTTTTCTTCTATAAACCTGTCTTCTACCTCCACTTCCTTTTTTTTTTTAGGTGCCCCTCTCAAAAAATGCTCTCTTGCTCCAACTTGCAGACTCCACAAAGTATTTTATAGCACATAAATCCTAGTATGAAAGGAAAATGAAAATAGAAATTGAAGCTGAATTTAATGACACTAAGACTTTTCTTCATGTTAGTTGTAAGATCCTCTCTAAAAGCAGACTTCAAGGAGCTTTCTTTCAACTGCAACCAATGCATCTAACCAGAAATATCTTAATTTTGCAGAAGATTACTGCCACCACCACCAGAAGAATAGAAAGAATGACCTCATTGTGAGGGTACACATTCTTTAGTAATGCTTTATGCAACAGAAATGGTTATGTTTCTAAACTACAATGCAAATGTATACCTTTTTCTGGATAACCAACTGTTGAAAGGAAATATGCTTTAAAAGGCACTTTAAAAACTTGAAAGAAAGACTAAAAAAAAAAAAAAAGAATCCTAAGCTATGTGATAAAGAAATAGTAGAGCTCCTTGCCACCCAACTGCAGAGAATAATTTCATCCCCCACTCCTCCAAAATAAATTTAACCAGAAGACCTCATCTAATCACAGAGATATATGTTATTGCAGGTGGAGATCCTATCTCCCATTACCATCTTATATCAAAGCCTATAAACTTCATGTTCAAGCCACACTGTAGTCTTAAAGAAAGACTGTCAACCCCTGACATCTGTAAGGTGCCATCTGGAGCTCTGTTTATACTGTGTTGAGATGTGCATCAGGCACAGAGGCGGTTACTTAATTACAGCAACTCCAACAGTCACTTTGTTGTTAGCAGCTCTCAAACTCAGCTGCTGGTCAGTAAAGTAAGTCTTTTCCACTCAACACAAGAAATAAGCTGCAATTCTGCAGAGCAACCAGGAAACATCCCTAAGCGCCTAAGTGGAATTTCAAAAGTCACTAAATTCAGTATTTCATAGTATAAGAGGTTTCTTTCCCCCTCCCCTTCCTTTAATATGAATCATTTTATATAATACTAACTTAATACTTGAGTTACACATCACCATCATATTCAACTCTGCAACTCTGAATTACATGGAAGCTCCTCCCTCAGCAATGTATGTGCCACAATACCTTCACAGATCCTCAACAACATCAACACTGAAACAGCCGGAGATCAAAAACAACCGCATCTGTGCAGGCAAGAAAACATGGTGCATTTAAGTGTAGCTTTGAAACTGGCATGGCCCAAAACAATGCAGCTTCTTACAAGTTCAGACAAAACTTACATTGTGAATTCTAGGAAAGCAAGAGTCTGAAACACATTCATGAGGTAACAAGCACATTATTAGACACTGTGTCATGACTCCATATGTACATAATTATAAAACTTGAGATCTGATGGTTAGCATCTATTTACACGGCAGGTTTCACTGATTTGAGGAGCTGCCAAAGCACAATCCATATATTAGATCAGACAAAAGTTTTTCTCCTTCAACAGTTAAACACAATTTTACCACATTTTTCAAAACCCCACATCTCTTACATGATAGAAAGTGAAACTTCTGTGCCTCAGTTAGCAGGTACAAGTCAGAAAACAAACCAAGGATTCCTGACAATCTTATTGCTAGGAAACAGCCCACAGCCTGTAGTATCCTTTTTCTTTCTTTCCTTTTTTTTTTTGTTTTGTTTTGTTTTTTAATTGATGGAAACAAGTCTTTCCACAGCTGTCTGTACCTCGGTTTTTGCGAAGTTAACTGAAGGTTTTGTCAGATTTTTCGGTTTTTAATGTATAATTTTGCCATTTCAAAGGCATTTGTAGCGTACAAGCCTCCCTCAAATTACAGAGATTAATACATTCACTTTGCAAAGAATGGTGCTCTTGGGTAAGTGGAGCTTCAGGTGGGTTTATTCAAGTTACTGACTGACTTCATACTGCTGGGAAGGTTCTCCCTCTAGACATATACTCTAAAATAATTAGCATGTAAAAAACTTACAGTATTTGGAAACAATTCTGCAAGAAACAGACAACAAAAATTCCTTTCTTGCACCAAACTCAGACAAGTCAGCACGAGTGCTTCTTCCACTAACACGCTCTCTCTGGTTAACCAAGACCATGAACACTGGTTAGAGAAAAGAGCACCAGATTTAGGAATCCCCTTCCTCAGCCAGTTTTCCTGCTCCTTTCCCTGCATCAACTTTCAGTGGTGCAACTGTCTATACTTCTCTGGAATAAACTGGATTACTTTCCTGTAACAAGTTAGAAACAGCTTACTTCCCCACGATACCAACAGCTCAAATTGATTCCCTGATCTGGTTCACCACACAGCTCCACAAACTGATAAACTTTAACTAAGGCTGGGAAGAGGCCAATGAATACAGAGGATACCAAACACTGGAACCATCATTCAAGAAGACAAGTAAAAATTTTCAGAAGGCATCACACTCCTAACTGCCCATGTCATCCTCAGTTACTAGTAGGTTGCTTATAAATGCAAACCTATTAAAAAAAAAAAAAAAAAAAAAAAAAAAAACCAGCATCCTCTTAAAGAGCAGGCTAAGACAACTTAAAAATGGGCAATTATTAGAGATGCAATTCAGGACAGAGTTTCTCAAAATGCAGTCTAAGAGGCCGCTCATCCTGTCCTCCCCTCTCTAGATATACCATTATAATGCTTTTTTCTCTTTTATGTAGAAAAGAGAAAACTCTTGGCCAGACCCACTTTAAAAGATGAAATCACAGAAATTAACACTGATTAAATGTCAATTATTTCACAGAAATGAAAGCACTACAGATAGAAAAGAAAGTAAAAGATTGAAAATAACGAAATGTAAGACAAGTAAAAGTCATTATGATTTAGTCTGACTGCCTACATAACAGTCTCAGGTTCTTCCTGAATTAATTTCTATTCATATGCAATCACCCTTTCAAATAACATTAAAGTTTTCCAGTAATAAGGAAATGCACCACCATCTTGGAAAAATGTTTGAATAATTTGCAACTTCCAAACTGGTTTCAAATTTTTCTTATCCATATGGATGTTTATAAATTTAGCATTTGAATTTCATGATCTAAAGATGAAATTTCTCAATTTTTTTAAAGTTACTTACAATTCACATGTCACCTATGAACTTCCTGCCCTTCATCAACATTCTTTTTTATTTCAGTGGTATCTGAAACAGGTAAGTACAGGACTATCAGTGAGATGCAGAGCCAATATAACCCCCAGCCTCTCTAGGAATACATATTCAGAAATCAAGTCTAGATTCTTGTTGGATGCCACATAATTACAAATCACCTTCAGATCTCTACTGGCATCAATTTGAAAGAAGATAACAGCAACATGTTCAGAAATGAAAAAGGCTGCAGGATGTGTTTGAAGAATATTGAATTGTCTCTTATCTCAAGAAAGTGTTTCCTAATTTTCATCTGCCCTTCTTTATCTTTCTGGGATATAAGTCTTTGCTAGTTTAAAACAGCTAACAAACAGCACTAATAAATCCCTCCATGGAATATTACCAACTTAAGAACTACATAACCTCACTAAAAAACAAAATAAAACTAAGAAAACCAACAAAAACCACAACTCACAGCAGCTGATGTAGTAAAACTGTACTCCTCTTTACCAAACCCTGGTTGTGCTGTATGCAGCCATAGTGTGCATGTGAAATTGTTGTTATATTATATTTGCCTTTTGAAATTTATAGGTATTTTACCACTAAGCCCTTCACATAAAACATACACGAAAGTTTACACGTTACCGCTCCCCCCACCCTTCATTCAGATAGAACTGAGAATTTTGAGTCATATTTTTAAACCGCTCACTGAGAATCAAGTCTCTCTCAATCAGCAGGCAACATGACTACTTGTAAGGAATATTTTTAAATAGACATATAAACTCATGCTGAGTTTACTAGTAGAATATTTGCAATATAGCATAAGCACAATGTATTAGAAGAGAGCTTCTAGTCCAGTTACACAATATACTCTTACATAAGAATTTCTGCTTCATTTGAATTTAATAAAAATACACACTCTGGAGGATGGAAGGAAAACTGTATGAATAAAAGTACCATTCTGTCAGCAAGAACTGTCTATCCTAAGCACAACTACAATAAATAAGGGTCAAATTTCCACACCTTTGACATACCAGCAGAGCTACTTGGCATCAACAAACTCAAAACAAAGTTTGAGATAAACCACTGACATTAAGAGTCTCTGCTATATCAGGAAAAAAACACCATTCAAACACTATAGAACAAAAAGTGCTGCAGCCATATCTACAACACACAGAAGAGCATATTTTACAGAATGCAGCATGAACACGTTCTACAAAAAAAAATAAAATAAAATGGCAGATAAGTCAGTTACAAAAGAGAACCTGAACACTAAATCAAAGTAAAATTTCAGAATTTATTAACAGCTACCTCAAATATTTATAAATTGGATCTCATCTCAGCAAAGTGCAACTCTTACAGAATTAATATTTTAGCTTTCCTAAGTGTTATGATTTTTTTAATTTGAATAATACAAGTAAAACTCTGCCTTTAATTAGTTCTTCAGTGCTGCTTTCTAACTCTAAAATACATATTGTTTTCAATCTGTTTGAAATGAAAACAGCATACTGGCCTGTCAAACACATCTTCAAGAATAATAATGAAGATTGATGTATCATACAGTTACTACTTCCACCTAATCCCTCCAAATAAAAAGACAATGCAACTGAAATACTGAACTCTCTATTTCACCACTACCACAACTTTCCTGCTTTCCTGAAAAAGCAAAAATCCAGTTGCACAAGTAAGTCTTAGGAGGTAAGAAAACATGAGCTATTTCCTAAGGAAAAAATAAAAGCATGTTCTGAAGTCAGAGACTCATTAGAACATTACTTAAGCAGAGCTGCTCTCAAATGCTTGCATGTCATTCTTATTGAGCCTATGGCATTACACAGCAAGACAGACACAGGACATTTGGAACCCGACTAGTCGACAAAGCAATTTTACATTTTACTTTCAATAAACAAGTAATCAACACATGTCAGAAAGAAATTCATACAGCACTGAAGCCTTTTCGCATAGAAAGCAGGCTACCAGATTCTACAACAGCTTATTTTCTAGATGCACAAACTAGCAGAGCTTTATATATAGCACATTGTAATTGTTTCACCTTGATACGATAAAGACAGCAGGCCCAGCTGCAAAATCTGTTTCCAAACAAAACTGTCAACATCTTGGATGGACACAAAAAATGACACTGAGCTGCTGCTGCTAGTTTAAGCTCAGAACCATGCTGAAACCACAGACTGCAGACCTGAACAACAAAAGAAAAAATACACAACTGGAGATGGATAGAAGACAAGCAACAATTGCTCTGACATCCCTGGTGTTTCTCCTGACCAGCCTCATCTCAAACTCTGAAAGAAAACGTTGTGTCAATAAATCTTTTTTGATATTTCTATCAACAATGTCCAACTATTGATATTAAGACACTATCTACATATTATTAAGAATTTAGTTATGCATGAATCCCATTAGAAAAGACAAAGTATACCCACTTCCAACCTTGGTTACAAATAGGGACAGAAAGAGCTGATACACGTCTATGATGTCTTCCACCTTCTCGTCTTCAACTGAATTCAAAATTAAAGAGTGGATCTGCAATATGAATTAACTCATAAATAGACAAGTGACTTTTGCACAATGACAGAATGCTAACTAGTTTACAAAAATAATTGCTAGCAATTTTTTTATCACCATTAATTATGCTGTAGGCTTTTGCAACAAAGAATTCATGTAAGGATCTTTCGACTTGTACACCAAAATCATTACTTTGACAAATCAGCTATAAAATAGACACTCTGTAATTCTTGGAATTAGATAAGCAATCTACATATTAGTGATATTTTTCTTTTTTTGTCTGTTTGGTATCAGTGCATTCAATCAGGTCCTGTAGTATAATACACTATTATGTAAGTTGGCATCTCATAATCAAGTGTTTGCTATTCAATAATACTGATTAAAAACTTTGCATCAGCATGCTAACTATTAATAGGGTCCTTGAAAGTAGTAAGGTATTAACTTTTTTTTCCCCTCCTCTTCAGAAACTGTTCATATATTGTCATTGAGTTGTGAACCAAAAATCAGGAGCACAACTTTCTTGAGCAACATTTCATATGCAGGAGACACGTGACTGCTTGGGTAGTATCCAAATGACTGAAGTAACTCGTGTGACAGCTGGGTACACACACTACAGTTTTTCATTTCAACTTGTTTCACTTTACCCCAACATGTGAATGCACCCAACCTGTGCAATATAAGTCTCAAGAGCCTCACATCACTTTGAGCCAGTCCTCCACAGAAACTAACCAATTAAAGACTTAAGAACGTACCGATGACAACATACCCTAGAGGACAACACACAGAAAAACTACTGTAACTGTCACTCTCTTATCAAAAAGAGCAAATCAACATGTGCTGCTCTCCTATCCCAAACATACCCTCAACCCCCTAATTAATGAGAATAACTGAAGTTCTAAGAAATGTACTAACAGTTTAGAAATTCAGTTTTTCACCTTAACTTCTGCAAGACCATGTAACCTTGGCTGTGTTCAGCCAACATGCAGGGACACACTGTTTTTTAAACAGACACCACAAAAGACCTCAAAATAACCCTTGCCCTCTTCTCCAGTCACAGCATAAGTCTGCTGCATACACTTCTAATTATAAATATAGTAACCTGACATGGGGAGAGACAGCCCATTGAATATGATCCCAGAGATTACTAACCCAAACCTATGCTGAGTACAAGTCTAGAACAATACAATAAAGCATAAGATAGATCACTATTCTACAATCTAAAAAACACACAGCTACTTGCACAAAGCATACAACAATAGTATACTCCCAAAGCACAGTTAGGTCTATCTTACAGTAATCCATTATCCCAAAAGATCCTGTTTGTATTTCTAGCTCTATAACTGGTGCAGCTAAGGTTCCTTATCCTGTGTTCTTCAACAATTTGTTTTCTTTACTACTCCCAACATAATAAAATACCACTTTGAGTTCCAGAGAGCAGTTACAATATGTAAAATATATCCCCTGCACTTTCATTTAAACTCAATGATGTTTAAATACCTAATTTCTTTCTTATTAATATCTGTTTCTTGGCACAAAAGTAGAGCACCAGATAACAGTAAGGCCCTTTCTTTATGTGCTTCATCTTTTAAAAGCTTCCTAAGGTACTACATATGAAACACTCTTCAAGATTACAACTTAAATATACTGTAGTAGTGCATATTTTCATTATTATTATGAAGTATTTCCATAGAGATGGACTTTTTACAAGGCTATGTATGGGACAGGACAAGGAGTAATGGCTTTAAACTGAAAGAGGATTGGTTTAGACTGGATATTAGGAAGAAATTCCTTACTGCAAGGGTGGTGAGACAACTAGAACAGGTTGCCCAGAGAAGCTGTGGATGTCCCATCCCTAGAGGCATTCAGGGACAGGTTGGATGGGGTTTTGAGCCACCCGGTCTCCTTCAAGGTGTCTCTCTGCCCATGGCAGGGCAGTTAGAGCTGGATAATCTATAAGGTCCCTTCCAACCCAAACCATTCTATGATTCTGATTCTGTTTATAGGGTCTAGTATTCCTCATAGTACTTCTCAGCTATATAAACTTCAACTGTAAGAAGCATGTTTTTCCATCCTCATTATTTCTCTATAATTACTAAGGTGTCTTTTACCATACCTCATACATTACCATCTTTTACAAACGCACACCTTCAGAAGTGTAAGTTCCTCCATATACCCAATGGCACAAACTAATTCTGACACACATTTATGTGAGCAGAAGGAAAAAAAACACAAACAGCTTAACCTTCTCATTCTTTCCCATAAAAAAACAAAGGTGAAAGCTTAAAAAGCAAACCACAAAAAATGGCTCATGACCAGAACATACCATGTAATTACTTCAGACAAAAAACAAATGACACAAGAGAAGAAAGCTAGGGCCATATGAGGTCTAAATTAACATTTCTGGGTTGGTTCTGAGTATCTCAGGAACTGACGTGACTTTTTATTTCCTCTCTACCTGACGTTAAGTAAGAAGCATGAGCATTACAAAGATCAGCTCATTTAATTCTCCCAGCTCTTATATTAGCAGTCCTACTTCTGGATCACTGGCAGCCAGTACTTTGGGGGTCAGTGAGAAAGAAACGCCAGCACTGGTCAAGACAACAGCCTGAAAGTCTACTGGAAAGCCATAAGAAGAAACCGATGGGAAAATCCAGCACACGACACATGCTTCCTCGGGAGCAGGAACAAGTAAACAACCGAGGGAAAGAAAGAACAACGTTTGTAAACACACGTCGCTTCTGCCGGCGCTCGCCCGACCGCCGCCGCCGGCGAGCACGGAGGCGCTGCCAGGCTGAGTCATTCCTTGTAGTAACTTCACCGCGAATCCCTCGCCCTGGCAGCGGAGCCCTGGGCAGGCAGGAGCACCCCGGCCTGCCCGGCGCTGCGGCTGGGAGTCACCGCCCCCCGTGCCCGCTCCCCCCGCCGGCTGCGCAGGGGTCATTCCGCGGCGCCGGCAGCAGCGGTGGGATCCCGGTCCTTCTGCACCCCCTCCCCGCCGCCTCCCGGCTCTTTGTCGCCCGCCCCACGGGTACAGCCCCGCGCCCAAAGCCGCGACCGCCGCCCCTCGCCAAGGCCGCCCTCCCGGTACCGGAGTCCCCGCCTCCCCCGCGGCGGGGAGGGGCCGAGCGGGGCGGCGGGGGGAGCCCGCAGCTCGGGGGCAGCGCTCCCCACTCACCGGAGGGTCCGGCGCGGGCAGCGCCGCGCATCCTGCGGCGGCCGCGGTGGCGGCGCGTCCCCCCACCCC